CCGGGTCCACTGGTGGAACCTCTTCTAACCGGTTCGGCAGATTTGACGAACCGGTTCTACCGAATAGGTGCGAACTGGTAGGAACCCACCTCTGGTCCCTCCATCAATTACCAATAGTTAAAATGAGGAATTATTTGGCTGCAATATCTCAAATGATGCCGTACATTTGTTTCCCCCCCCCCCCCCCTTTCTCACCTGTCTGCTTCCTGTGTCCAAATGCTGCGGCAAGGAATGCTTTCTGCCTCCCCGGGAATATTTCATTGGTATTTCATAATTCAGGTCTCCATTTTCCACCGTCAACTCATCATCCTCTCCCACAGACTCTAAACGCGTTGCCGCCCCTAAAGAATAACCCCAGAGATACAATTTATTATACATACATCAAAGGCTCTTTTAAGATTGTCAGTTCTAATGGAATTTAGAATGTCCATCGAGAAATGATGAATGGATGCATTTCTTAAAACATCTAAACAACTGCAATAAATTTTATCTTTGTGTGTGTCTGCATGTTCATGCATGTGGGATATATGGGATGAGGTTATTTATTAAAGAAATGACAGAAGACACTTTTGAAAAATCCAAATGCTTATTTAATCACAAACAAGCAGCGCTTTTCAGGGATTTAAAAAAAAGAGAGATTTTCTATCTGAGTTCCAGGTAAGAAGGAAAGAAAAATAGTTTATGCATGCTATCAAATCAAGCGAAAGGTTCATATTTTTAAAACCCTCGAAGGATAGACAGTGAGAAACTTTGTGAATTACTTTTTCTCATGCTTTCCATCCTGTGCACCTCTGTTGTTGTTGTTAGTTGTGAAGTTGTGTTCGACCCCATGGACAACGTTCCTCCAGGCCTTCCTGTCAGGAGTGAAATCCTCCCGGTTCGGCTGAACCAGTAGGGACGATTGTCTTTGGTTCTGCGAACCGGTAGTAAAAAAAAAAAAAGCTTCCAAGCGTCGCACGATCATTGGAAGCTTTCCCCCCGCTTTTTAAAGCATTTTTTTCCGGCTAGTTCGGGCAAATAGGCGAGAAAAAAATGCTTTAAAAAGCATGGGGAGGGGGGAGAAGCTTCTGACGATCGTGTGGATAAGCTATGAGCCATGCGATCATCGGATACTCTTTATTTCACTTTTCAAAGCATTTTTCCCCAACCTATACACCCGAACCGGTAGCAAAAAAATGCTTTATAAAGTGGAAAATGTTTGGCCACGCCCACCTGGTCACATGACACCCCCCTCACCAAGCCACACCAACAGAACCAGTGGCAAAAAAAATTAGCTTTCACCACTGCTTCCTGTCCTCTACCATCCCACGGAGCCCATTTAAGTTCATGCCGACTGTTTCAGTGCCTCCATCCAGCCACCTCATTGCCCTTCTATCAGCACCAATAATCCAATTCTAAATCTGGCTGCCAACCGGAGGATAGTATGAAGCTCACAGCCTTTCTTAATCACAGTCCTAAAATTGTGGTGGATCTCCTTTGAAGAGGTTCACCTGGCAAGTCTTTGAGAGCTGCCACCATTGATGGGTTTCTCTGTCCTCACATAGAAGGCCAGTAAGGTGGTTTCCCCACCCCACCCCCTCCTAATGGTTCTTTTTAGACAGCTTCCATAATTACCCTTGTGTTTCATCTTTTTAAAGGCTTTGATCCTTCTCATTATCATTTTATTAAAATCTTATTTGAGATACATTCCTCTAACGGTTAAAGATCGCAAATCCAGAGACCATAAATAACCTCAAATAACTAAAGGAGATGGAAATATGGCTCGGCGAGGAACATAGTAGCAACAAGGAAAAATGTAAGTCTTCTGATCCAGGACTACTTTTAACTTTAAAAATCTAATTTCAGAGAGAAGTGTAGAGCAGGGGTCTTCCCACTTTTACGGCTCGGCATACTAGTGGAGGAGAGGAAAAGAGAATGGTTTTGTGCACAAGCGCGCTGCTTTCATAAATATCAGAGACTGGGTGTTGGGGACCTCTGGTGTAGAGGAACTTGGTCTTCTATTGGAAATGAAATGATATATCTATCTAGCTCAGTATGATTTATCTCTAAGTACAGGGGTGGGCTGCTCCGGGTTTGCCAAAGTTTGGGCGATCCTCTAGCAAACATTCTGCGTGGTTTGGCGAACCCCCAAATCCCACTCCTGGCTGGTCCCGCCCACCCCTCTCCTCCCAGGAGTCTCCAAGTGGCCCGTTTTGGATGCCAAGTAAATGCAAGGCCCACGCGGAGGCTCGGGGAGGGTGAAAAATCCCCCCACGCCGTGGTGCAGGAGGATGACTAGGCCACAACCATCATGACCACGCCCACCCAGCAGAGAACCCGTTGCTAACATTTTTGAAACCCACCTCTGTCTAAGTACCACACACTTTAAAGAACTCCAGCAGAAGTATTTCTCATGGATAGTTTTTCTTTATTCTTCCTCTGAACTTATACTCTTTTCTCAGTACGCTAGCAAACCTAAATTCTAAATCTTCCCATCCTTCTTCATCCAATAAAAAAGAGTAACTATACCTTGAGATCGGCTCCTGTACTTCAAAATACCACCTCCATGAGTTGGGCTCTGACAGTTCTCTTTGGAGCTCTCTTCTTCTGCAGGATCTGAGGACCTGTCCGCGTCGGTCAGGTGTGTCATCTGAAGGAAGAGGAGAAGGGATATTTAAAAAAAAAGCCCAGCTACCTTTTCAAGTGTCATCCTTGCCATAGCTCCATTATGCATTATCCCAAGGAAGCGATAAATGAGGATCTCAAGCAGAATTCTTGCAGCTTATTTGCACTGGTATTTGTAACCAGGAAAAACGCACCAGATTTTTTTCTCCTTGTCCTAGATTTTAGGACACCAGAATCAACTGAAATCAACTGCTTCTGATTTTCTCAGATGGGAAAACTTCATAGTGAGAACATCAATGCAAGGGAAGATCCATTTCCCCCCAAAACTTAGATTATTATGTTACTGCATAACTTTCCTGTTTGTTTTCTATCTGTCTGTTTTAACAAGGTGGTTTGGAAGAGGATTTTTATTTCTTAGCTGCACAGAGTCTTATTGATGGTGTTCTGACCTAGGCTTCCCCAAAAAGCATGAAGCAGATTCCTGGTCCCAACAAAACCTCTTTTATTAAACAAATGTGAATTCCTTTCATTCACATTCAGCAAAGGCCTGGTAAACAGTCTCTCAAAGGTGAATTTATGACCATAGACCTTATCTAGCTTGGAAAGCTGCCATGTAAATATTTTCCAAATGAGGTGCTGTGCAAGGAAAGACTTGGCACAGAGTCTTTGAGATTCACGGACAGATCTTCACACTCCTGAAACGAACGAGCAAGCGAACAAGCGAACGAATTGTTTCCTGCAAAAGCCCAGTCCCCTTTCGCTCCTCTTTTATTTCATATGGGCCATTCACTGTCCACCTGTGGCTTTACTCCCAAGTCAACCCTTATTTCTTAGCTGTTCTTTTCTTTTGGCAGCTCTGCACATGCACACACTGGGAACAGGCTCCAGCTGTTCCTCTGCCTCATTGCTGTCTAGCTCCGAAGACAGTTGACAACTGCCAGACAGCCTTGGCCGCATCTCTGCCTCTGACCCAGAGCCCTCATCTGAGCCTTCCCCAGCCTCCAGGACTGGCCCATGTTCCTCCCCAACCTCCTCACTGTCTCACTCTGCTGCCAGCTCTGCTGGCCACTGATGGACCACAACACATGCTTATTTGTAAGCTGTTTTCAACATCACAGATTAAAGCTGAATGAATAAAATCAAGGTAAATGGCATTGGATGTGGCTCTCTCCCCAACATACCCCTGGACTTCCATTCATTGCTAAACCTTGATTTCATTCCCACCCCAAGGACTTAATTTTCTTTCTGCAGCACACTAGATGACACTTCTAGGAAATGGAGGCCAGGGGTAGGTAGCTGGTTGTTGGTTCCAATAGCTTACTGAAAGCATACTTTTTTTTAATGTTCCTTTTATTCCATTTGCCGAAAGGATCCTGAGATGAAAAACGGATCCCGCAATATAAGGTGAAAAGGTATAATTTCGGTTTTTCAGAGAGAAGAAAGAATTTTGCATTTCCTTTTAGAATAAATTACTTGGTAGAGAACATCAAGTCTGGTATTAGAAGGTGATCTGCAGCTTCAAATAATAATGGACAGATTACAGTGGAGAGCTTACGGCAACAAATAAAATATACTCTATACATTAGGGAGCTTTTTTTCTTCGGAATAAAGAACCAAATCTTGGAATAGGGCACTGGAGAAGGTAAATGTTTCCCTGCTCTCAAATATATGACAATTTTCTAATTGAAATCACTCCTATTCCCAGCAGGAACAAGGCAGGTATGATATGAAGGGTTATGGGATCAGTGCAGGGGTGGGACTGAAAAATTTTAGCAACCAATTCTCTGCCCGGTTGCTGGGTGGGCGTGGCCATGGTGGGCGTGGCCTACTCAGCCTCCTGCACTACAGAGGGGAGGGGTTTGTTTTTGCCCTCCCCAGGCTCCAGAGGCTTTCCTCAAGCCTCCGGGAGGGCAAAAATGGCCTCCTCAAGACTCCAGAGGCCCTCCGGAGGCTGGAAATGAGCCCATTTCAGGACTTCCGGAACTTCCGGGAGACCCATTTTTTGCCCTCCCAGAACCTCCATGCAACCCTGCACTTACCTGTCACCCAAAACGGGGTGCGTGGAGTTTCCTGGGAAGGGCGGAGTGGGGTGGGCATGACCAGCCAGTCCTTTCAACTACCGGTTTGGTAGTTGGTAGATCTAAAATTAGCATCCAGTTGACCCGAACCGGCTGAATCCCACCCCTGGGTCAGTGGCAAAATACATCCCTTACATACAAGCAATTAGACTTCCCATTTCTGATAGTTCTGGCTTTTGTATGTGCATGCGTCCCTTTGAGTCACCGTTGACTTCTACTTACTTGCAGATGTTTTAGCAAGATTTTCTGAAGTGTCCTTGTCTCTTTCTTAGGACTGAGAAAGAATGACTGGCCAAAGGTTACCCAGCTGGCTTTGTGCCTAAGATGGCACTAGAATTCATGGTCTCCTAGTTTCTAGCCTGGAGCTTTAACTATTACACCAAACTAGCATTTGGGGACAAAGGAAGAAAACCTGATGAGAAGCTATATAGTGACCATAACTTAGTAGTCTAAAGGTAAAGGTTCCCCTTGCACATATGTGTTAGTTGTTCCCGACTCTAGGGGGCGGTGCTCATCTTTGTTCCAAAGTCCAAAAGGCAGCGCTGTCCGAAGAAGTCTCCATGGTCATGTGGCCGGCATGACTAAACATCGAAGGCGTACGGAACGCTGTTACCTTCCCATCAAAAGTGGTTCCTATTTGTCTACTTTCATTTTTTACATGTTTTCGAACTGCTAGGTTGGCAGAAGCTGGGACAAGTAACGGGAGCTCACTCCGTTACGCAGCACTAGGGATTCAAACTGCTGCACTGCTGACTTTTCTGATTGAAAAATCAGGGTCTTCGTGACCCGTCAAAACCGCGGTCCACTAAAGCGCACCCGATCAAAGCGCGTACGTGACGTCATCAGCAGCGCGACAAATAAAATTAAAAATAAATTAAATTAAAATTAAAATAAAATTAAAGCAAGCCGATTCACATAAAGGTAAGGGTTAGGGTTAAGGTTAGGGTTAGGGTTAGGGTTAGGTTAAGGGTTAGGGTTAGGTTTAGGGTTACGTTAAGCGTTAGGGTTAGGTTTAGGGTTAGGTTAAGGGTTAGGGTTAGGTTTAGGGTTACGTTAAGCGTTAGGGTTAGGTTTAGGGTTAGGTTAAGGGTTAGCGTTAGGTTTAGCGTTAGGTTAAGGGTTAGGTTTAGGGTTAGGTTAAGGGTTAGGCTTAGGGTTAGGTTTAGGGTTAGGTTTGGGGAGGTTAGCGTAAGGTTTTCACGTTAATTTTAAATTTACCGCTCACAGCGTGCCGTTTTCGTCACCCTGTGATGACGTCACGTACGCGCTTTCGACGAGTGCGCTTTAGTCTACCGCGGATTTGTGGTGGAACCAGGGTCTTAGCCACTGAGCCACTGCATCCCTTAATAGTCTAAAGCTTAGTAGTCTAAAGCTTCATAATTTCAAAATACTTCAGCAAATGATTAACTTCCTAAACAATTTCTGGGGGGGAAGGGGGGGAGGAGACTCTTAAAAAAAAAGAGGGGGGTGGGAAAGGAAGGGAAGGGAAGAGAAGAGAATAAAAAAGTGGGGGGTGATGGGTGGCCCCAATCACTTTGGACACTGCCCCCAATGAACACTTGCTTTCTGCAACAATAGGACCACCATATTTAAGGCTGTAAAATCCAGGTAACCACCAAAAGGTTAAATTTTTGTTACTATGTAATAGTTGCCCAGATGTTGGCAGTCCAGTTATGGAGAAATGCTTAGAAAGCTAATTTTGAAAGAATCTACTTTGAGAACAATACAGTGTGGACAGCACAGATGTGGAAAAACTCATTCAGCTCATCTTTAAATGCCATTTGATTTAATATATACATCTTGATTCAATGCGTAAACTGAAACACAGTTGCCCTTTGAAATCGATATTTTCCTGATTTTGTTAATGCAATTTGCCAGTTTAAAAAAAACCACACATGGAAAATGGGGGAAGGTTTTCTCAAATATCTCAGGGAAAATTGGTGGAAAGAATGCATTCATAAAGTACCATTTAACAAAAATTCATATTACGTTTTTCAGGGATTTAGTAGACCCTGGTTTGCCTTGGAGAAATAAGAAAGTAGGCCAAATCATAACTGATATATTAATTACTCTCTAACTGAACTACATGGACCAGAATAATATTAGAAATATTGGGGGGGATGTTTTAAAATAAGTGCCATTTTTCCCACTGCCTGATAAGAAGAACATATAGGTAGTCCTTGACTTGCAACAGTTCATTTAGTGACAGTCCGAATTTACAACTGCACTAAAACTGCACTCTGTGAGAGGGATCTTGGAATCCTAGTGGACAACCATTTAACTATGATCCAGCAGTGTGCAGCAGCTACCAAAAAAGCCAATACAGTTCTAGGCTGCATAAACAGAGGCAGAGAATCAAGATCACCTGAAGTGTTAATACCACTTTATAATGGCTTGGTAAGGCCACACTTGGAATATTGCATCCAGTTTTGGTAAGGTGACCAGACGTCCCGATTTCAGCGGGACGGTCACGCTTTATAACAATTTGTCCCGTGTCCCGGGCCGTTTTAAAAAAGTCCCGATTTTCTGGCTTCATATTGAAAGCCCA